CAGCAGACCCCTCCTGTCTCCCCGCTGCTCCCCTCAGTGTATTTCAGAGGATCCACCTGTTCTGCTCCCCACTCTGTCTCTGGTGAATCCTCTCTCCCCCTGCACCTCTGGCCTACACCCCAATTCTTGTATGCAAAATCAAATAAATCTAAAAAAAAATGAAGATGCGAACCCCGGAAGCAGTCTGCCAGCTTTTATTCTTCAAACTGTTTCAACTACCATAAGCTTGACTTTAGTGTATGAAGGTAAGAAAAGTAGTAGTTGATATCAAACATGTATTTACTTTTTTGATTTACTAGATGGAGTGACGTCTAGTCTAAGTGATTTTGAGCTAAAACGCTCTATACATTTATGAACAGAGAGAAGTGCTGGGTTTGATTTCTTCTTCTCTGAAGAATGCAGTGTGGAGATGGGCGGTCTGGACAGCCACCCTTGAAATCTTTATCAGGTTCCTCAGCCATTCCTGGAGGTGGAAAAGGCTGCCTTTACCCTCAGGCAGTAGAACTTTGCTGAGCTGCTTCACAGACGGAATCTACGCAGATGGATTTTCTCTCCTGTCTGCTAGACCAGGGAAGGGGGGCGGTGGTGGCGGATGGAGGCCCAAGGACATGTTACAATATGTCCACATATGAATACTAATACTTTTAATAATGGCAGCTTACAATGAAACCAGCGCCGTGTCAAACTGCGCATACAATGCATGGACTCATTCAAAATTCATAAATACTCTATGAATCAGGTAATATTTTAATCTCATTTTATAGATGAGGAAATGAAGGCTCAGAGAGGCAACATACCTTGTCCACCCTGGCACAGCAGCTGAATAGCTGGGTTGGGCCCAGCCCAGATCTGCTCTGACCCAGCATAGCAGTGGCAAGCGGTACCATGGGGTCAGCATTCCAAGGATGTGATTCAGCAGAGAAGAGACAAGGCAGAGCAGGAAGCTGGAAGATTCTAGAATTGTGTCCTTGATTTTTTTCCTATCACCACAAAAAGAGAGAAAGCAGAGCTGCTGGCCCTGAGCTGAAGTTCTCCCCCCCACAGCATATCACTCGCAGCAGCCTAACTTGAGTTGCACCCACACAAACTGCTGTTTGGGTTGTTGTGGCGGGAGGGTCACCTTCTTGCCCCAGGATGCAAATGCAAAGTGACATTTTGCATTGAAAATGGAGGTCCAGATGCACTCTCCTTTGTTCCCCTTCAGCATTTCATTTTTTTTTTTGTTTTTATTTCCTTTAAAGCTACAAAAGCTTAAGTAAATTTTTGCAAAGTGGTTGCCAGCTTTTAGCATCCACCTGCTAAATTGCCCCCCCCACCCCCAAGTTACCATGCTGGCAGGTGTAACTTGCAGCTGTAGCAGATTTCACCCAGCAGGGGACAGATGGAGGGGTGCAACCATCACAGTGGGGGACTTTTTAAAATCTATGATCAGCCCTCTGTGGAGGCCTGGTAGGAAAATGTGGCATTGATATGAAACATGCCAAGTGGGCAGGTGTCCGCTCTGCGTCTTTGCAGGAGCAATAGTGGGATTCCTTTTGTGGGGGAGGGGAAGCCGTTGGTGTCCCCTGCAGCAAGGGCAGATCATTTTGCATCTGAGTTGTTTAGAAGTAACTACAATAGATTTTACTGGCATTAACATTTTGATGGAAATGACACCCCAATCTGAATGATCTGCCTGGGAGCCTGGCATCCGTCCCCTCCCCCCTGGAAGTGGCAGGACAGTATGAGTCATGCAATTGCTTTGAGATTCACCTCCCAAGTCTTTAAAATGAGGACTTGGCTTCATCTGTCAGAGCTCACGAATAGTCCACTTGCTCCCCTACAATTCCCAGCCCCTGGCATAAGTGGGGTCCTGCGACTGCCTCACTGGCCTCATTCCCATCCTGAGGGAGGCAGCCACACAGGCCAACTTGGAGACCACATGTGGTCAGTGGCAAGGTTACACGGTGAGGTCCACTCCAGATAGTACAGTGTGTGTCATTTAACAGTGGGGGCATGCTCTGGGGAATGCATCAGTAGGAGATTTTTGTCATTGTGCCTAGGAGCATGCTCACACAGCCGGCTCAGCCAGGGACGCAGCCAGGATGCAGGCAGAGTTCACTGGAACCACCATGCACGCGCTGCCCACCGTTGACCCACTTGTCACTGGGCCACATAAGTCTGGGTGAGGGTTCGCCCATTCAAGCAGCTAAGACAAGCTGCTTGTCTTAGTGCAGCCTCTCCACATGTCTCTCTGCAACATCTGTCTCCTCCAGGTGTCCTTCTTGCTCTCCATCCTCTTCCTCTTCTCTCTTCTCTGGCTTCTTCTCAGCCAGGTCTTCTCCCAGCTCAGCTCCACCCTTCCCAGGTCGGGCAAGGAACCTGGAACCTCCACTTTCCTTAGGGACCACCCTGTTACAAGCCCACGAGGTGGGGAGGAAAAAAACAATGCCATAATTTGTTCTGAGCTGGGCTACACCTGGGCATGCGCAGACTGGTTATACTCCAACTGCCCATCTGTGCATGCCAGTTTGGGCTCTCAGCCTCCACTGTCCTGGACATTGTGAAATAATCTTCAGTCAGGACCTAATGCTTTTTGTCTAGGATAGCAACTACTGGTCAGCGCAGTAGGCCAAATTGTTTGCACAGGGCTCTCCAGGCCATGATTTAGTCCACCTGTTCATACAGGACTTGGGGTAACTCATTCTACAACTCTTAAGTTCTTTTACCAAGGCTGTTTCAAATCCATAGAACAAGCCAACAGACTGGAAATTCAGGTAAGAAATGATGCTATGGTTTTGAGTTCACAGACTGGAAACCTGAGTCCTCAGACAGAACTTCTGCTATGTTGCAGATATGGATGCAGAATCCCTCATTTTTGGGGAAACCTTCAACTGATTGGATGAGGCCCACCCACATTTTGGAGAGTCAATCTGCTTTACCTCAAGCCGACTGACTATAAATGTTAACCACAGCTGAAACATAACTTCACAGCAACATGTAGATATTTGACCAAATAACAGAACACCAGAGTCTAGCAAAATTGACATATAAAATTAACAATCACACCTGCTTACAGGTGTTGTTATGAGGTTTAAGAGATCATATGTTATTAAATTACCAGGGGTACACAGTAAGCAAACTAATTACTGTATTTACTATTACAGTTTTTGTGTTTCCAGTGTGATTGCTTTTTCTATTGTCTTTTCTCCTTCTCCTGTTTTTGATACATTGCTTCTTCTTTCATGCCTCAACCCTTTCTGCTTTCAAGAAAAGAACATAATGTACATTTCCCACTATTCTGAATTTGTAATGTTTTATAAGTAAGGCCTTTATTTTGCTGTTAAATATATAGAATACTTGCAACTACACACTCAGCTTACTCTCTGCTATGAGGTCTACTTCTTGAGCACAAGATAGTATTATTTACTTATTTTAATAAAATTTCTGATTTCTAGCAAGTACAAGACAATTATAAGGTGATCAAAAATTGCAATGATTGGATTGTAGAAAGATGAATGAGTTAGAATAAAAATACAAATTATTCTCTCTTTCTAAAGCAACAAAATAATAACTCCAATAAAGGTCTTTAGAAGTCAGGCATAATTAATAAATCAAACCGTGATGAGCAATCAGTAAATATTGACTTTCTATTGTTTATTAGGTACATATCTTGTGTAAGAAGGTGAATGAGAAAGCAAGGATATTTCAACCTCCAGTTTTTCTGAGGGGATCCCTCTCCCTGTACTCTCCCTCAGTACCTCTCATCATATTAGTCATTTCATGGAATGCCTTGTTTCCCCTACTAAAGCGTAAGAGGTGTCAGAATGGTTTCTTTGGGACATGATGCTCGGCCATTCTGACTTGCTGGAAAAGCTCACAACAAAAGTATATGTATAAGATTCAATTTTTGTCTTTTGCCTCATTGGCCCTTGGCATGTGGCAGGCAGCAGAGAAACTGGAATTCCCTGGTCACATCATTATTAGGCATGACTGATTAAATCATTGGCCACTGACAACTGACTTAACCACAGGTAGAGGGAGGATAGGGGCTAGAGGTTCCAACTTCCCAATCTAATGGTTGACTCTCTTGGCAACAAACCCCTCTCCTTAGGTGACTTACCCCATTAACTTACCAAAAGACACCTTTACGGCTCTAGTCACTTAGGAATTTCCAAGGGTTTTAGAGTTTATATGGTAGAACTAGGAATGAAGACCACATACATATCTATCATTATAAAACCCCAACAATATCAAATAGAACATTTTTAATTGCAGGCCACATGTGTTTTGGAAACATGTATCAAGGGAGAGACGTGTCTGCCGCAACATGTCACTTGGCTGTGCAAAGAACTCTGTTCTGCCTTTATTTTGGCCATAATGCATGTTTTGGCATTTGGTTATTTTGATTGCAATTTGACTGAAAGGTAATAGTGAGAAGATGGTAAAGTTGATAAAGAATATGGCTCAAGGGAAGACTGGATGTTCCATCAAAATGACTCTTTCCCTTCCATTTTCTGTCACCACCTAGAGTGGAGCCATTCCTCTAGGGAGAATGATGTACTTTTACTACATATACTCTAGGTACAAATAAATGCAATTGATACTTTACTTTTTTTTTATTATTTACTTTCAAGTTGGTGTTGATTATGCAAATTTGCTTTCATTGTTCCACAAAGGCAGTTCAGCAGAGATAGGTGCCAGTAGACAGGTCCAGGAACATGCATTGTTATAAGCTCCTCAAAGATTTCTCCAATGAAAACTAATGTCTGAGAACCGCAGCCTCAGGAAAGAGGGGAGGGGCTTTTACTCCACATGCTTTTTCCAGCCCTTTCCCTACCAACTGTTCATTTGCCAAGGAAAGACACATTAATATTATTTTCATGAACATATTACAATTATGAGACCCTTTTTGAAAATCTCATCACCAATGAAAATGGTTCTTTTTCTCAATCATCTAGTTGCTCAGGCCCTTCCAATAAAGCAGTTGATTCCAAGCAGTCAGCAAATCAGACAATTTCCGGACATTCATCCGCGGTACTTCTAGATGGTTGTCAAATTTTAGCAAACCTAGATCAGATAAAGGGGGAAAGAAATGTGTAATTCATCCATGTGCACAGGAAATGCATTATCTACAATAATCATTGTGTCTATGTCACACTAGCTTGAATAATCATAACTAGGAGTGTGGAACTTTCACGTGAGTAACTTACTTTTTTCCCTAACTGTTCCTCTGAAAGGCTACTGAAATGTTTACCCCTAGTCCCAGCTTGGTAATTAGTTAACTGCTATTTCATATTGTTTTCTCTCTCGCTATGTGTCACTATATATGTCTAGAACAGGAATCTCTATCAGTAGCAGATGGGTTTTCCCCAGATTTCTACTCTCTAAAGTTTACTCATTCATTCACCAACTACATAAACATGCACTCTGCATGTAGGAGTAGAGACAGATGTTATCCACTTTGTTACTATGAAGTCATCAGTGTGCAAAATGTACAACGTTGATGCTAACACAAGATTGGCAATATGGGGTACCTAGTATGATCTTCATTCAAAAGGGATACTTGAATGAATGATGAAAAACATCAATAGTCTCCGAACTTTCAGATTTTAAATCTAACAAAGAAAGTGGTTGCAAAAGAATTGTATTATGCAAACTTAATGTAGTATATACGGGTGCACACCTGAAATTCATATGCAATGTTATTCCAATAAAAATTATGTAAGAGAATTGCATTATAATATGAAAAGGGATGTGACTTGAGAAGTATAAGGCATTATAAAGTCTAGGCACCTGATCTAATATAAATGCCAAGGCAGGTCTGGGACGGCTGCTCACCAAAGTTTGTTGAACTGCATTATGCTTGCCCTCCATCTGCTAGATTCTCATCCTTGATTGTGGGAGTAGACGGATGAGTCGTTCTTCATTCTTGCTATTAATAACCATGTCTGACTTATGTTTATATATGAGGGAGAGGGCTGCAACTTCTTTATTACTCAGGTACAAAACTCTTGGCTATAGAGGAAGTACTTTTAGAAATGATGCAGCAAATGTATTTCATTTAATGAATATTTATGGAGTATCCACTATTTTGAAGACATTGAGGTGGATTAAAAGAGAAAAGAAATCAATAGTCCTTGGTTTCAAGGTCTTAAATGTAAGAGTATGTATAGGAAGCTGAGTGGACAGGAAATGGAAAAAAATTTAGGAGGAAGCCAGAGAATAACAGTTTGAAGATGTATGCAAATAATCAAAGAAGGTATCTTTTTCATAAATGAGCCTGTAGGAGAGAGGATGGAAATATCATTCTGGCCTTGATCTAATATTTTTAGGGGTGAACAAAGAAGGAGCTTGGAATAGACACAGCAGGTGACACAAGCCCTGTTCCGGGGCCCCTCCCCTACCTAGTGTGGGGAACGCTTGCTCCTAGTGTGTGCCTTGCGTCTGTGTTAACTCCATGCTCGCACTTACCTCATACAAATGCAACTTCCCCAGGTCCTGTACATGCCTCTAAAGACTGAAATCTCCAGGCCTTGACATTGCCAGCCCAGCCCCGAGAGACCCGGCTCACCCTTGGTAGAGATTTCATAAATGCCTGTTGGGCATGACCAGGCTCCCAGCGCAGCCCACAACAACTCGCAAATTCCAAGACTGAGTGGCCCTTTGTACATTCTCCATAAGAATTTAGTAGGTTATTTAGTAGTAGGAATTTACTATTTAGTAAATATTTAGTATGTTTACTAATACTACATATTAGAATGATTATAGTACTATGTAGTTCTCGATGTTTATTAGGTGATTTAGGAGGGTTAGTAGATTTGGCCAGTTGAGTAAATTCTGAAGTGATTTCCCTTTAGAAATCAAGGGGTAAACCTTTTTGCAAATGATTCAGAATTCTCATGGTTAAGATGTACAAAGAATTACATGGATATGTTAGAAATGAAGCCCCCTCAGATACTGAGATTCGGAAGGTCTGGCATGGGGATGTACACATCTGCTCTTTAAACAAGATCCCCCTTGGGTTCTAGAAGTGGTAGCCCCAGGCCACGCCTTTAGAGAGTCTGTCCTCACTACTGGGCTTCCTAGCAAGGTGGCACCTGGCTTTCTCATTAATTGTATGTGTTCATCTTAAAACCCAAACGGAAGAAATTTGTACAACTGGCTCCATCTGATAAACAAAAGCGTCTTTTGACTTTTGCAACTTGAATTACAAAATGGCTCTTTAGGTGAAAATCTTTTGTGCAAATATTATCAGTTAGTCCCATCAGTTAGGACCCTGACTGGGCCCTCAGCCTGTGAAGCCGAGCGCGCACGGAAACCCAGTTCCCATCAGGTGAGGAGCACTTCCAGGCTTGCCCACACCCAGGGAGCCCCTGTAGCTAAGGGGAGAAAGGGATGTCCTGAATTCTCAAGGGTTAGAGAAAAGAACAAGGATGTCTCGTGATACCCTCAGGACTCAACGTTTTAACTACCAAGTTAAATCAAATTTGGCCGTGTCAGCGTCTCCCTGGAGCTCTGGGGTCATGCTGCCTCTTATGTCTGCTTGTCTTGCAGGAATAGCAGTGTGGGGGATGCCATGATAGGATTAAAATACCACTACCCATTTTTTTTTTTTTTGCTTTTAATAGTAGATGCTTTTATTTAATTTTTATTTTTATATTCCCCATAAATTACAACCCCCTTATTTTAACCCAATCCCTCCTTTCCCCGACCCCCAGCCCCCCACTAACCATTTTAAATAAGGGGGGACCTTATTTACAGTTACATTTCAGAGCACAGGCCAAGAAAAATGTTACCATCTTCATGTTGATCAAAAATAACCTTAAAAAACGGAGCTAAGGCACCTGCCTCATGGTGAGGGGGACAAAATTCAGAAGTGAGGGGTGCTCAGTCTATTGCAGGTCTGGAACCAAATTTCACTTACACCATGATTCAGCAGAAACCAACCCATCAGAGTCTACCTATTTCCTATATTTGTTCTGAACCCCATTTCCTATATTTGATCTGAACCGCATAAATGAGGCCCAAAGTCCCATCCTTGGGGAGTCTGATCAGAGAACCCTGCCTCCAATCTCCTGCCAGGTGACCTCTCATTAAACCAGTTCTTTTCTCAAAGCTGGCAGCATGGGGTTTTGGTTTCTTTGCTATTGGGGAGCGGGCCCAAGTTCAGCAACAACCCTCCCCCCCAACCTGGAATGCCAGGAAATAAAGGGACACATCACTCACAGAGACAATAAATCAATACTGGCTGGAGTACCAAACAAAATAAATCTTCACTAAGTCCCACTATGATTTTAGAATTAACACAAGATTTCATAAATAGGGCAACAGAGTGTGGAGAGCAAAGGCCAGTAACCAATCTGAATTACAGACCTCAGTCTCCAGGCCATGCGAGCTGGTCTCTGGCAGCCATATTGAAGCAAAGGTAATTAACACAATCCATCTTACAACAGGAAGGTGCTTTGCTGGCTGTTTGAAATTCTGTGAGCATCTCACCCAGACTTCCATAACCCTTTGAAATATGCTGAACCACAGTAGTCAGTGCACAGGGGGATCGTTATGTGAGTGAGGGATGGGAAAGAAATCACAGTTTGTTACTGAGACCATTTCATGGGCAGTTTGCCAGCTATTTGGAAAACCATAAGATAAAGGCCTCTTCCTATGAGGTCTTTGTAAAGACCAATGCTATGAATCTATAAAACACTTTAAAATGATTTAACATTTTAAAATTCATATTATTTCCTAAGTCCTGCTGCCTTAAAAATGAATTCTATCTGTTTTGCTGTAAGAACTTAGGAGACAAGATGATAATCCTATTAGATTTTATGGTAACAGAAAGCATTATTCAGAATGAACATTCAGGACCTTTCCTGTAAGGAGTCCTTGCCACCTATTACTCAGCAGAAACCATGCTCGGATACCGGATTATCTTTGTCCAGCGATGATGGACAGGCAACACTTACCGAGCACAGGAGGTGTCTTTGAAATAGCTGGCAAGGCTGAGAAACAATGATTTGATGATATCTAGGATAAGAAAGAGAAAATATTTTAAAATGATCCAAATTGGAATGAAATACAGAGCTCGGAGCAGTCATTTGGGAAAGTTACTTACAAACAATAGTTATCGTCAAAGAGCAGGTGAAGACACTGGCTAATATTCCTCCCAGAAACCACCTGAAACAATAGAATTGCTCAGACTTAGCAAACAGATTATGTTCTTTTAGATTTACTATAGATATATGATTTTAAGATCTACTCTGACGCTGTGTAATAAAGAGTGTGGTGCTGGCAAAAGGATAGACATATACATATATCAATGAAAGAGAAAAGCTCCAAAACAGACACATGGTTTTTACTAAAGGTTCACAAAGAATTTGATGCGCTAGAATACTCTTGTTAAGCAAGTGTCATTGGAACAGCTGGTGATCCACAGGCTAAAGAATAAGCCCCCACGTGTGATCAGACCTGACGCCAGTTGAGCTCAAATGGGTCAAAGACCATAGTGCAAACCACAAAAATATACAATTGTGTGCCTTGTACTTGGCAATGAGTTTTTTAATATTACTGAATTCACAGTCTTCATTGAATAGAAAAAAAAGTGATTTGTGATGGATAGAATGCTATTAAGATACAAAACATTTTTTTTTTTCTATAAAAGATACTACTAACAGAATAAGAAGAGAAAAAACAATCGAGGGGAAAATATTTTCAAATCACATATCTGACAAAGAACTCTATCCGGAATATGTAAAGAACTCTTGAAACTCAACAATAAGAAACAAACAACCCATTTAAAAATGAGTGAAGTATCTGAACAGACACTTCATCGAAGAAGACATATGGATGACAATCAAATAAAAGAAAAAGTGTTCAATAACATTTGTCTTTAGGGAGATAAAAATTAAAATAGTGAGGTACCATGACTCATCTATTAGAATGGCTAACCCTCCCACCTCACCCCAAACTGACAACAGCAAATGTTAGAAGACTCAGGGCAATAGGCTCTCTCATTCATTGTGAGTGAATGGAACATGTTGTGTGTGAATGAAAAATGGTACATTCTTTGGAAGACAGTTTGATACTTTTCCTATAAAGTTAAACAGACTTATCATACAATCTGGCAATCACACACCTTGGTATTTACCTAAGTGAACTGACACTTAGGTATCTACAAATATTTATACTTTCTTACAGCAGTTTTATAACATTCTTTAGGAAAGCTTTATTCAAAGACTTCAAAAACTACAAGCAAATGAAACATCCTTCAATAGATGTTTAAAAAGCTGGAAAGTTACTCAGTAATTAAAAGGAACAAGCTGTTACCCCTTTAAAGGACAACAGAAAATAACGAATGTTGACAAGGACATGGAGTACAGGAAGCTTGTGACCTGTTGATGGGAATGTAAAATGCTATAGCTACTGTGGTATATAGCGTCTTGCACTACTGTGGTGTATGTGCCATAGTTAAGGTACCACCATTGTTGCATCAATATTAACACAACTACACACTTCATTTGGACTTTACAGTTTTCCCCTAATTTACCCATGTTCCAGGATCCCATCCGGGAAGCTACAATGACATTACTTGTTATAGTCATGTCATCTTAGGTTCCTCTGGTCCCTGACAATTTCTTAGACGTTCCTTGGTTTTGATGGCCTTGATGGTTTGGGGCAGTGTGCAGAATGCCCCTCAGTTTGGGATTTCTCATGTTAGACTGGGACTGGGAAAGTCACAGAGATGAAACGCCATTCTCATCACATCCTTTCAAAGGTACATGCTGTCAACATAACTATCCCTGTTGGTGTCGACCTTGACCATCTGAGGTCGTGTTCACTAGGTTTTTTGGCTATAAAGTCACCTTACTCGACTTTTTGAAAGCATTTTTCTAAATATGGCTCAAATTCAAGGGATGGGGTATGAGCTCCCCTCATAAGGGGAGGTGAAAGATCTCCAGAAATTAATCTAAGAGGAACACTTCATTAATAGTTCTGTGAAATTAAAGAAAAGCTTCCATGATCAACTAAGTTTTGGAAAGTCTAAGTTAAATAAAGCTAGTGTTTCCTCACTATATTTTCCCACTGGGTCTCAGTTATGCTAATGTACTTAGGATCCTCCAACTTGGGATATATAATGCAGAATTTTGCAAATTTATTTTTAACCATAGAATCTTCCCCCGTTTTTGTTCTTTTGCTTCCATTGTGAACTAAAAATACTTCTCATACCTCATAATTATCTGGGAAGCTTATTAAAAATACTGATTTTCACTAGATCTAAATTAGTATCTCAAGAGATGGGATCAAGACTTTGCATTTAAAAACACCAGCTCCCTAAATGACATAAGGAACTTGACCCTCAAGAAGCAGGACTTGAAAGCAAGCAGCACTTGGTCATTAGCGTTCAGGGGCCCCAAAGACCCCAGGACTGTAACATTCATCCCTGTTTCACTGATTCAACAGATATGGCTGAGCCCTTGGCACCGGGGAGACGAAAGTGAAGGAGATATACAAGATCCCTGCTCTCAGGGAGCTCACATTCTTATAGGGAGAGATAATTAACATTTAAACGAGTGAACACATAGTACGCCAGGTGGGGATAAGGGCTCTGGAGAAAAGTAAAGCAGGGTTTATGAAGAGTAGTATGCAATTTATACCCGGTTGGCAGGCAAGGGCTCTCTGATGATGATGATGATGATGGTGGTGATGGTGATGATGATGATAATGATGATGATTTTAAGATTCCAGAAAGGAGTGAGGACACAGATTATGAGACCATCTGGAGAGATTGTACTAGGCAGAGTATACTGCAAGTGCAAAGGTCCTGAGGCATCAGTGGACTTAGGACCCCAGAGGTTTGCTCACTGTCCTGGAGTGTGGGATGGGCCAAGGGTGGAAGAGAAGTGTGCCTGTTAGCAATCAGGCAATGGCATCATGTGCTTGAGGTGCTGCATGGGCTTCCCTGAACAGACACTTTTTATAAGGATATAAAAACTACAATGAGGGTCTCCCTGGTGGCACAGGATTAAAGACAGTGTTATCAAGCTACTGCCAGTCACTACAACATGAGTTTCATCCCTGGTCGGCCAGAGGTGACTCACTTGGCACGGTAGATCTCTCTTGACACCCCACTGCTCCCTCAGCAGTGGCTTTCAGTAGATTTGCCTCTTCTGTCCCTCCCCCCCTCACCCCCCCCCATCTCTGGTGAATCCTCTCACTCCCTCTGACGCTGCACCTCTGGCCTATACCCCAGTTCTTGTATGCATAAATAAATATATCTTTATTTAAAGAAAGGAAATACTCTAAAAAAAAATAACTACAATGGAAAAGATGGAGTCTCACTGGGGACCTCAAGTGCCCTGAACTCCAGGCATACTTTGACTGTGTCTATTACAGGGACTCACTTAGGATTTAAGCAATTGAGGATTCGTGGTAAATTCCAATTTCTAGCAAGATAAGCTGGTTTTTGTACACTGTACAAATAACATTACCAGGTCTCTTCTTGGCTATAATATAACCTTTCCCTCCATGTTCTACTCTTTGGGAGCAAGTTTCTAACTTTTGGGAGATGGTGAGAGGAGGGAGGGAGGTGATGGATGAAGGGGAGATTTCCATGGGCAGACAAATGAGCAAATCCTTGCCACAGAGCAACCTAAAATGCTTTGTGTGAAGGCAAGGGAATTAATCGATCAAGGCCTCATTAATTATGTACCACCACTGCATGAAAATAAAAGCTGAATTACCTGGCACAGGCAGAAATGATTAGGCAGGCAACAAGTAGAATTACTTGAAAGGAAATCTCTCGTAACAAACTGGTTTCTATCGGGAAAGATAAAAATAAATGAATTAGAAATCACTGCAGATTGAATCATCTTGGAACAACAAAAGTATATGAAAACTATGGCCCCCTTACACACACACACACACACACACACAGAGTTTTCAAATGCAGGTCAAGTCAAGCAATTTGTCAGATGAGAAAGGACAGTTATCAAATGATGTTCTGGGCTACTCTTTAGAAAATTTCTGCAAATAATCAGTACTTTCATTAAAAAATAAATGGTGGTGGGCCTCTCCTGGTGGTGCAGCGGTTGAGCGCTGGGCTGCAAAGCTGCCCGCAGCCTCTGCAGCACTGGTTCGATCCCCGGCCACCGGCGAGGGTCCCACATGGCATGACAGACCTCTCCTGCCGCGCCCGCTGCTCCCCTCAGCAGTGTATTTCATCAGTCTGCCTGTTCTGTTCCCCGCTCTGGCTCTGGTGAATTCTTTCACCCTCCCGCGCTTCTGACTGCCCAGTGCTTGTATAAATAAATAAATAAATAAATAAATAAATAAATAAATAAATAAATAAATAAATAAATGGTGGTGCTACACTTCTTAAGTTTTAGGCTTGCCTTCTAATTTAATTTGGGGCAAGGCTTTGTAGAATTCATGCTAATGGTAGAAATCTAACTTAAATGACGATGATGCTAATAATTAAATTATTATTACTAACAATCAATAATTAAAATGTGTAGAGAGCCTTATAATTCACAAAGAACATTCACACATCAATTAATCAACACAACAAAACTCTGAGGGAAGAACCACAATCGTAGCTCTGCAAATGAGGAGACCAAAGCTGAGAGAAATGATGAAACGTGTCCAAGGTCATGCAGCTCCGCAGTGTCAGAGCCAAGATTTAAAAACCACATCTGACCAGAACATAATGTCTTGTCTGAAATGAGGCAGGGGAAGGGAATGGCAACTTTGCATACTGGAAATTTCTAGAAGTCAAACAAGAGAAGATATATTATGAACTAATTGTCCTTGAAAAACTCTTTGCTCTGGTAGAGTATTTCAGGTTTTCAGGTCACGATGGAATGACTGCAGATCTTTCAGCAGTTATAAATTTAAGAGGTAAAACAATGTGAGCCTGGATATTAATTACTCTAATCACCTAAAAGAAATCAGAGCTGACTTCAGGTTACCACATAAAGAGGGAAAGGAAAGTAAATCAGACATTGACTTAAATTTCATCAAATGTTCCAAAAAGCTTGATTCTGCAAGAGTTGTGGAAACTTGGAATGACTTTATGCTATGAATGTATTTATTTTTGCTATTTATGCTATGAATGAAGATTGAGTCTGCTAACAAAACCTACTTAGACTGTAATCTGGGCAGAATTCTGAAGATTGGCAATGCAAAATATAACAGTTGTGAAATATGTCAGGGCAAATGTATAGTATTTCATGTACACCGTGAATTAAATAAGGCATTGCTGGTTCAATTGAACACTCAACCATCCTTCTAAAGTATTGCTATTATTAGCCTTCTCTCATTTGTAGAATTTGGAAGACATTTCCAGCTTAAAAATTGTTTCAATTCAAGTTTTACAAAGATATGAGTTGTGTGAGTTTGGACAAGGTGTTCATTGATTTATTCCATCAGTAGTCATTTACATAGATCTGTTTTGACTTAGTTTAAGTGTGACCTCCTTCGGGAAGCTTGCCTTGATTTCTCATCTAAATGATCTAAACAACAAAAGTTGCTTTCAATGTCATCCCAACACCTGGAAAGGAGACTTAAAAAAAAAAAAAAAAAAAACCTTACATAGCTGTCTAATTGCCACACTGGGAACAAAATGGAGCAGGGTGTGTTGGGAGGAGAAAAAAGGAAGGACTGGTGAAGTGAAAAATTATGAATTTCTAAAGACAGATAAACAGAAGATACTACCTTTCCATTTAGTCTCAACCTATGTAATCATAACCTTACGTTTTGTGAGAATTTAGTACTGAACACATGGTGCTCAGTGGTTTATGTAAATTATTTTAATCACTACAAGGTAGAAACTATGATTATCTCCATATGCAGATGACAACATTAAGTTTTAGACAGTTCAGTAAACTTCTTCTAAGTTATAGTAACTCGTGGAGAGCTGGGCACTGGATCTCGATGGATCATGGAACACTGATGCATTGCTTGTGCAAATACTATTAATACGATCTCAGCAAACCAGAGACAAAGGGACAGGCTTATTGTTTTGCTCCTGACAGGAAATATCAAGACGTTAATATTTCTTGAATTTTCCTTGTTAGGGGCAAAGCATTAAGGGATTTTTTTTCTTCTTTTATTTTTTTTTCATGGAATGTGTCAAAGACGCAGCTAAATATGAAGACTAAAATAATAGACACCTGGGTATGTCCCACCCAGTTCAAACACAGTTTAACATTTTGTCAAATGTCTTCAGGGTCTTCAGAAAACAAATAAAATACTGCACACCCAGGCCTTCTGATGCCTGACACTCCAGAGGCTGTCACTTCCACCAGGAAGGTCACAGGGCACTGGCAGCACGCTGGCACAGTCCTCCTGTCCTGAGACAGGTTGATACCAGTTCTTATGTGCACATTAGTTGCCCTGGGCCCTGAAAGGAAGAGTTATTGGGAGTGGCAAAGGTTAATAAAAACACTCACTTGAATGATCCCAGAGATTCCCTTGGAAATGTTCAGAAGCCATTGACTGAGAGTGAAGAGAAGACTTGGGAGAGTCTGTTCTGGACGTTGGAGATTTGATGTGGCTGGAGGAGGAAGCTTTCACAAATGCGGTGTCTAGCTTCTCTAACTCTTGGTCATCTGTCAGAGAATAGTCAAAATTGCCTCCTGGAAAAATAGAAAGGTTCAGTGTGTCTGTATGTGTGTTTTTGTGGGGTGTGTGTGTGTGTGTGTGTGTCTATGTGGGGGTGGTATGTGTGTGTGTGTGCATAGTTGCACTCAATGCAAGGTAGCCCATAGTCATAACTATACTAACACCAGCACACCAGCCATTTGCATCAGATGGGAGATAGCTCCCTAGCTGAGATGACATTTCAGTTTGTCTTCATCCTTCCTTAAAGGTTGAAGAGGAGATGGCTCTTTGGTGCAGTGACAAGGTAAAGGGGGTCAAATTGAAACACAAACACATCACCAGAAACCAGGAGTTGCTGGCTATGTCTACAGCCTTCATGGTGGTGACGGCATCCGGAATGTAAACATTTGCACCAAACTGTCCAATTGCGCACGTGAAATATGAATAATTCTCTGCACATCAGTCATACCTCAATATGGCTATTTTTTAAAGGGAGGCAGTCCGGCCAAACTAAGATGGAAGTGAGAAAGTTGGGAACGTGGATGGTTGATGATGTTTTCAAGCACTGAAAGTGCTTAAGGGAGCTTTGGAAACATGGGGATGGGATGGTGCCCGCAGGGAACTTGCCACTGTGCCTTCACCCAGGTTGCCCTGTTGAACTTCTGGTTTTGCCACTGAGAATTGGATGGATTAAAAAACACAGCCTATGTGGAATACTGGAAATAGTACTCAGAATTCTCTAACAGAACAGACAGCATTAGAGAGGGAAAACACAATAAATCTTAATAATAAAAAAATGATCAGGGACTTGTCATCTCTGAAAAGACATGATTTGCCCCCAATTTACCCTTCCCTTACCTGACATTTAATTTTATTCCTCAACCTGAATAATAAATGAAATAATCATAAGTCAGAAAACTTTTCAGCAAATAGTTCTTTTGTACTCTATTTGAAGATATTAATTTCATTCTGTTCTTTGGATTGATGTAAATTCCATGTAGTTTACTTTTGTTTTAAAAGGATAAATCTGATGCTTCAAAGCACATTTCCAGAGCTTTGCTTGTAAAACAGACATTATTGTTGGCTACAGTGGGAAAGACAAAGCCACATACAGATGTTGCCATCAAAGATATTCATGGTGAAGCATTACTCTAGAGAACACTGCAGACCTCAAGCCTGGGTGGGGAGGGGTAATGTTAGATCTATGGGGTGTGGGGGGGTGGGGGGTAAGACCTCGCTTGAAGTCTCCTTGCCTTTCTTTCCCTGGACTGGCAGAAGCAGAGCAGGACTTCTGTTCACCTCCTCCCTGCCCCCCCAAGCCAGCACGATCCTCTATCCTTTTTCAGTATGACTCATGGGCTCTGAGTATGCATCCCAAATTGCAATATTGGGGTTTGGGGATCTGCAAAATGCCTTGGCTAAAGAATGAATTGCAACTAATGAGGAAAGGTGTCCCCACAGCTGTGGAAGGGGTGAACTAAGGATACACAAAATAGGCAAAAACCCATTGGTTTTTGCCCAAAAAAAATGAAGCAAGAGAAAATCAGGGGAAGTGAGTTTTGATTGCATCCATTGCCCAGAGAGAAAACAACAAAACAATGTAATTTTGAATTCTTCTTGAGTCTTCTAACTAGACAACATTTCCAGAGAAAAAATAAATTGCTGATAAAAGTCACGGGGCCTTGGGTAAATCCGGGGAAGAAGTCTGGGGAAGCTTTGATTACAGTTGACAGCAGAAATGAGAGATTTCAAAGTCCTGTGCACACCCAGGTTGGCTAATTACTGACTTGGGAGGGGGGTGGTTTGATTTGTTATATTTAGCAGAAACCATAAGAATTTTAACAAGTTATCTCACGCACATGCAAACTGCTGTGGTCCAATAGCTCTAAAATTGTTTGAACATATTTCGAAAAGGCAACTATGGAAAAACTAGATGTTAATTTCCAAATCTGTGCAACATTGCCTTTAAAACAGTGATTCCCAAACTTCAGTCTTCCAAGCATCATTTCCCGAATTTTTGCCCCATCCTGGGCCATCTTTACTCCTACACATGTAATGTCATCTTCGGATTGTCTCATGAGATCTTTTACCTTAAGGGAAACTTGTGTCAGTCAGTAACATCCACTAAAGAGAACGTGGAAGTGAAAATAAGTACAAGATAAATGAGACCTTATTTTTGCGCAGTAAGCAGAAAGTTCTGAGTTGGTTCATAGTTAAAAGAACTTCGTTGAAAAAGAGAATAGTGAGTGTTAGAGAGTCTAAACACTACTAAGGCTTTAAACAGAGCCCTTCTTCTTGGTTTTATCAGAATTGTGTGAGGGGAAGGGTGAACTGGCTTCTCTGGTTGTGAAATTCAATATACATTACTGCTGCAAAAAATTGACATCACTGGAGCCATTTTTAAAGAGGGTCAGAGGAAAAAACCCAGAAAAGGTCACATCCCTGGAACAAACCCTCAGGTTGCCTCTAACCACCAACATTCCAAGAAACCAACAAGAATGAAAACATTCTGTTTGAGAAGACTGGTAAAGGGAAATTTTTGCCTACTTTACCTTGAGAGTCCTCCACCTGACCATGGCCTCATTCATTTCTCATCTCCCATCACCTCAACCTTATTTTCCCCCTTTATAAGGACCCCCAACCTGGACTCCTTCTCAGAGTATGTTTTGGGTTTCCAACCTGTGCTCCCTGAATTGCAATTCTTTGATCCCCAATTAACAGCCTGTGCCTTTATAATAGTCCCCTGAATTTTCAGGTTCACACTTTGGGGAATGGTGCTTTGGAACTGAAAAGAGAATGGCCCTGTGTGCTCCAGAAGATTCTCCAGAAGTATTACCTACAAAAGGCAGAGGCAGCCTTAAAAAGCAATGAGCATTCAACACTGGAAGCCCATAGAGACAGAAAGTAGACTAATGGTTGTCAGGGACTAAAGGGGATGGCAGAATGTAGGGAGCAGCTAATGGTGAGGATGACTTTCTCTTTGGGGCGATACAAATGTTCTGGAATTAGAAAATGGTCATGGTTACATAACCCACTTTATGAAAATACTAAAAAAAAATCACTGAATTGAACACATTATATTTTATAATGAGAAAATTATATCTCGAGAGAAAGGAATGAGTGTTCCTTATTACTGTGGGTATTTGTGCAATGGTGGGGATGCTGAGATTCTGTGAGAGGACCTCTGTGCTGCCTTCTGATTGGAGATTCCAGACATCACTTGCTTACCAGACTTCTAGGCTACAGGACGCTTGGATTGGCCATACAAGCTGGGCACTGCTAGCAAGTGCTTTAGATGCCCTCCTTCCATGACACCCTGCCTCAGGTTGCCTGCCTGAGAACTTTCCCCCAAAGAGCCTTTCCTGAATGTAGCATAAGAGGCACTGGCTTGCTCAAGACTCCTGGGCTTGAAGCCAGGCAGGCTGCTTACTAGTGGTGTCATCCAGGGAAACATCTGATCTGTTCGAATTTCTCCCCTTATTAGCACCACTAGGAATTAGGGAGAAGAACACTACTCCCTCCATGTTGTTGCAAATGGCAGGACTTACTTCTGCATAAGGCTGAATGATTTCCATTGTGTGTACAGACTACATTCTCTTTATCCATTTTCCATCGATGGACACTTAGGTTGTTTCTATGTCTTGGCTATGATGAACAATGCCGCAATGAACACAGGGGTGCAGAGATCTTGTTGAGATCCTGATTTCAATTCCTTTGAGCATATACCCAGAAGTTGGATTTCTGGGTGATATAGTAATTCTGCTCTTAGTTTTTTAAGGAAGCTCAACAAAGTAACTGCATCACTTTACATTTCTACAGTGTAGAAGGGCTCCGTTCTCTACATTCTCTTGCCAACATAAGATGAACCTCCAGGGCATGATGCTAAGGGAAATAAGGCAGACATGGAAAGACAAATACTACATGATTTCAGGAGTACACATTTCATTGCACAAGATGAGTAAGTCCTAGAGACCTACTGCACAGCATCATCATTGTCATCAGCACTGTGCTGTGTACTTCAAGTCTTGCTAAGAAGGTGAAGCTTGCACTAAGAGTGTGTCTGATGATTACAGCTTCTGTTCAACTTCCTGAATTCCATTCTTTCCTCTCATTCCCTGCTTCATAGGTAGATGCCTTTATTCCCTTTATGCCTTTTCTACTTTTCTTTCTGACTTCCCAATCAGGATCTCTAGAGCCTCATCTACTCCTAAACTCCATTCTCACATTTCCAATGCTCTATTGGCTATTTTTTTACTTCCCGGAATGACCCCAAATCCAGCTCATAGGAAATAGAATTGCCTTTTTTCCTGACCCAAATCTGTTCTGCCACTTGACAGTTAATGAGTATTAAGTAGAACACAATTCCCTGTACTAAAATGTACTTTTCATGAATCACTGCATTTCATCCTGACAATTCTAAATGCAATTATTTTTCTTATTTTATATAAAAAGAGATGGAAGATCATTAACTTTCCTGATTACTTAACTTGCCCAAGAACACTAAGGTTGGGAAAAGTAGTTTCAGGGCTTGGATTCAGGTCCACTCGGCGAAGCGCCCACATTCCTCAGCCTTCTGCCATATTGTCTGCTGTCTTTTGTGACTGCAGAACTTTTCAAGTAGTCCCCCAAATTAAAAACGTCAGGATTCTTTGATTCCTCCCACTTTCTCATCACTATATTCCATCTGTCACAAACCTGTCAAGTCTACCTTGAAAAATAGTCCTCAAATCTCTTCCCTTCCCTCTATTTCCAAAGCCACGTTTGTTCTAGAATGCCTATTAGTTTTAATTGCCTCAAAGCTGTGCAAGGGGTTAAGACGCAGCACTATGAAGCTATCCACAGCCACTGCAGCACAAGTTCGATCCCTGGCCAGGGAGCTGACCCACATGGCACAGCAGACCTCCCCTTTCTCGTCTGCTGCTCCCCTCAGCAGTGTATGTCAGTAGATCCACCTGTTCTGCTCCCCACTCTGTCTCTGGTGAATCCTCTCACCCTCCACCCCATATCTCTGGCTTACACTTCAGCTCTTGTATGCATAAATAAATAAACCTTTAAAATAAAAAAAAAAAAGCTGCATCAGTCAGGTACTCTCAGTCCAAGCTCCTCTCCAGGTGAAGGTGATCTTTCAAATGCAAATCAGATTGTGTCATACCCTGCTGAAGAGCCTTCAGGAATATCCATGATTGACTGGATAAAACCCAGTTTCCTCAATATGACACAGAAGTTTCCTCAGATATCTTCACTCCATCCTTCCAGACTCATGCCCCACGCCCCTGCCTTTCTCCTCACTTTGTCCTGTTTATACATCCTTGTGATTGTGAAGAACAAGGATGCAATCAATTTAAATAATGTTGTGTTCATCTATAAGAATCTGTTTCTTCATTGAACACTTAGTTTATTTTTTAAATACACCCCCCCATGAGTCATACAAAAGCCTGAGAAATCTTAATGGTATTGTGTCAATGTCATTTTCTTGATTTTGACAATGTACTATAGATAGTTGAGGAAGTTGTTACCAGTGGGGAACCTGGAGGAAGGGGAGGGAGGCCCTCTGCTTACTATTTTTGCAACTCCTTGTGAATTCATAATTACTGCAAATTAAAAAGTTTTTAAAAGTAGCATTTGAGTTTTCTGCACAGAAAGCAGCTTGAGAAAAATAGTAACAACTAAGTACTACACCTTCAAGTGAATATATTATTATATCAAATGACTTGCCCTTTGAGCTGGGTACCTGATGGTGTGTGCTGGGTTTTGCGTTGGAAAGGAGAGCAAACTCTTACTGGCAGTAGAGCAAGGGCTGGACTTTCAAACTAGACAGACCCGGGCTGAACTCCAGCTCTGCTGTTTATAAACCAAATGAACATGGCAAGTCACTTAACCCTGAACCTTATTTCATCATAATTACAGTAAATATGATCATTTGACCTAGTTCTAGGAGCCTGAGGATATTTTAACAACATAATGTATATAAACCAGGTAACAACCATAAACAAATCTTGGTTCGGGCTAGCAAATCATCCTGGCTCTACCTATGAAATGTGTCTCTCTTGAACCACGGTTTCCCTTGCTCGTCACTGTACAGCTTCTCTCTCGGTTTCTCCCCACTTCTCCCGGGGCTTCCTCTCTGTTGTTTGGCAGGCTAACTCTGTCCTACTCAGCCATTCAGTGTTGTGCTCATAGAGTTCTCCCGTAAGCGCTCCCTTTGGTCAACTCTGCCCCCTTCTCAATCTAACTCATCCACTCCAGAGCATCCATGGACTTGGACGCTGTCTCCAGAGTCCTTTCTCCAACCATATTCTGAAAAGGTCCAGCAAATATGTGCAAATATGTTGCAGGTCTTATTTGGGCTACCTGGATGAGACGTCCCACGGACACACAGCTGAGCTCAGACACCCTTTCTAGCGCCACTTTGACTTACTCCTTCTCCCCAAAAGTTCCAGACCAAACAGGTGTTCTTCCTGACCCAGCAGACTACTCACTACACGGAAACCCTAGTAGTTTTTGTCTCCTTGGCCCAGAATAGTTCCTCTTCATTTTCTGGGGGCCCAGAAAACCCCCCTCATTACCTAGAACTCGGCTCTACTGCCACTACCACAGGACACCTTCGCTGAGTTTCTGAGTGAGTGAAACCTCCCACTATAGCACACACCGTGTCTTCCTGGTGCGTCCCCCTAATAGTACCTTTATTTACTTGTGCAATTATTTAACAAAGGTCTGAGCCCCAAGACCCAGCAAATGACAGACAGAGGTTGTGTTGCCTGTATTCACCCTTGTATCCCCAGACCTTAAGCAGCACCTGGCAGATGGCAGATGCCCAATAACATCAGTTATTTCCATTCAAGTAATAAAATAATTGTAACTACAATGATTGCATAACAGGCATTGAATTATGACTGATATCCATTGTCCTTTGTAAGATATGTTTTGAATTTCCATCACTCAAATACACATATATGTGCCTATATACCTATGTATGTACATAGGTATCTGTATATATGTACATATGTACCTTTTAATTACATAGGCATTACATAATACATACGACATAGCTATTATATACATATATGGCATATATTTCAATAGTAATACATACACATATATAATTATGTCTACTTAAGATAGCTTGTTTGAAAAATGAGGGAACTGAGACTTAGCCAAGTTAAGTAATTATTCCAATGTGCCCACACAGAGACTTGAACTCTAATAATTCTAGTGTTCTTTCTCCACCCATATTCTGTACATCAGAGAAGTGCAACTATTTCCCAGGTATTATCAAGTAAATATTTACACATTTAGGGCTTTTTGCATGACATGGACACATTTGTATTTGGATCATATAAGTAGCAAGGAAAGTCAGGTTAGTTTTTAAATGTGGATCATCTCCTTTATCTCTTTACACTGTCCTCTCTGGATTTGGTATTGGTCAACTATCAGGACCACATGGTTGCTACTCTCCATTCAGAGGGGACATTTCACTATGGAAAAGGAGATTCAGACTCACCATTCTTATTGCAGTGGTGGGTGTCCAGCCTGCTGACCCCCTCCAACCAGATGTCCTCACTCAGAGAAGAGTCAGCATCACCAAAGATACTGCCACACAGCCAGGATTCAGAGGCACTGAGGTCAAAAAGAGATGAGAAGGAACGGCGGATTCTCTTTTTCTTTCTAAATATTCTGAGGGAGAAATGAAGGTGGCATGATGAATAATGAATGGCAGCCATCTCGGGTTCCAAACAAAGAATTTAGTGAAAGTGATTTGACGTACAGCGCTGTCCTATGACTTGCCGTTGGGGTGTGCCCTTGTCATTTATTTGATTACCATGAGAAGAACATTCTTTGTTTTCCACTAGTCTCAAAAAAGAAAGGGATAAGTGGATTCCAACATGAAACCAAACTCAGCCTTGTCCAGACTTGGTCAGCCTACCCCAAATAACTTCCAAGCATGTGTGTGTTCCAAATCCCCACCCAGTATGAGTGTGCGCATTGCTGTATGCCATAGAAATGTTGTGGTTGTTTGTTACTCAGCATTATTGTGTTGTAGCTGACTGATACAATCAGTACATGGTGGTTTTGAAACAAAAGAAAATGTATATGATTGCCCAGATTAATTCATGTAGAAGTGAACTCATTTATCTTTGCTCCGCCACACATGTTCTTCCTTTGCTTATTATTTTGGTAAACCATCCTATTATATATCCAGTTGACAAAGTCAGAATCCTCAATTTCATGCAAGAGCCCATTTTTAACTAGAACTCTCACATCTAAATAATGACCAAGTCTTATCTCTTTGTTATACTCTTCTTCTAGTTCCCCATTCCTGCTTATTTATCTCTGCTGCATCTACTGTCTTTCAGTACCAGGAGACCCTGCCTTCAACTTCCCCTCTCTTCTCCCAACCATCCACCCTTTGCATGGTGATCAGTATTATCTTGCTAAAAGTAAACCTGATAATTTGTCAATGGCTCCCCTTTCTCTACCGAATAAATCCCCAACTCCTTATCCTGGGATTAATTCTTTCCCTTCAGCCCAGCATCTGTGCTCCTTCTTCTCCTTTGTCAAGTAGCCATTTCCACTCAAGTCAAACCCCCACCAAATGACATGTCATTCACCAAGGTGTATCAGGGTTTCTCAGAACTCTATGCCCACCCTCTTTCTCTGAAAGTCCCCTGTCTGACATCTATTTTAGCTAACATCTGTTATCTCTCAGGACTCAGATCAACCATCTAAGAAAAATAGGCCCCATTTTATTCTCCCCTCAACTCTATTCAGACTTCTTTTCCAGCCCCTGTGTCACTGTTTTTTTGTTTTGAGGTCAACTTTCCCTACCCATTATCAGCCTTTGTGTTGCCAGAGTCTGGAGCAGTAATGGGCTCCTTATAATGAGAGTCAAATGAAAAAATAAATGGATGGATTGGACATCAGATTCCTTCATATATTATCCTCCACTTACCTAACTAAGTTCTCCTTGTACAGAACACTGGTCTGGGATGGGCTCAGAGTTATGTTGCCATCTTCGTCACAGAGGAAACTGTTTTCTGTCCAAATGTAGTAGCCATTGGTAAGGAGTCTGGGACTTCGGCGACAGGTAAGGTAGGAGCCCGTCAGGGGGTCAATGGAGCAGCATTCAAAGGAACTGTCATTGTCCAGGTACCCACAGGCAAAACTAAGGGGGATAAGCAAAGTCCTTCAGATCCCTGTCAAGTATATCCAGTAACGCAAAAACCACATTTCTAGTCTCTGTGAATGAAAACACCTTGCATGCCTGACTACCAATCACTCTGCAACTTAGAATGTCACTTCCTCTCCCCACTATCCCTTAAGCCCTTTGTCCCCCTCAACTCTTCCCCTTAAGCCCAGATGCCTCATTTCATTTACTAGTGCCCACTGGTTTTTATAGGTATTTTACTTTGTAAAATCGTCCATTATATAAATTGTCCAATATTTGTCTTTGTCATTTTGACTTGCTTAACTACACATCATTCCCTCAAACCGTTTTTGCTTTGTTGTAAATGTCAACATTTCATGTTTTCTTTTTTTTTTTAATAGAGGCATGTTTTATTTATTTATTTATTTATTTGTTTGTTTGTTTGTTTTGTCTATATTATACATGCACTGGGTACAGTCAGAAGCGCGGGAGGGAGAGAGAATTCACCAGAGCCAGAGCGGGGAGCAGAGCAGGCAGAAGGACTGAAGTACACTGCTGAGGGGAGCAGCGGGCGGCAGGAGAGGTCTGCGCGCCATGTGGGACCCTCCTCCAGTGGCCGGGGAGCAGCCGGGGATCGAACCGGCGCTGCAGAGGCTGCGGGCAGCTTCGCAACCCAGCGCTCAACCGCTGCGCCACCGGGGAGGCCCGTTTTCATGTTTTCTTATAGTTGAATAATATTCCACAGATAGATCACATCTTCTTGATCCAATCCTCTATCAGTGGACACTTAGGTTGCTTCCAAATCCTGGCTATTATAAATAATGCATGAGCCCTTCATACCATCTATGTTCTTCACAAAATGCTAGAGGAAACATCAGCCGATGTCTGCATAAGTACAAGGACAGGTGGAAAGATCAAAAGAAAAGGAAGAAGTAAAGGGCCTTCTTTGCAGAACTTGAACAAAGTGGTAGACACTACATGTTTTAGTGGAGCATAACATTTGACCAATGCGGACTTTGGTGTAGAATATTGTTGCTCTTTTTAAGTGAGATAGAAAAGCTTATTTGAGAAAACATCAATTTGAGAAAAAGTAACCACACATCAGTATTCAGCAGTTTCTCTACTTACCAAACAAACAATCCATATTCACCCATAAGCTAGCCCTCCTGACCCCAAAAATGTTCATTGTTAGGTTAGGTAAATTTTTGCTTTTATGTGCATGGGACTGAAAATATATATCTGTACCAAAAAACATACATGCATATAGTTAGCCATATTGCCATAGCTAAAACTATTCATTTTAAACCAGGAAAACAACAAAATAAGACATCCAGGAAGAGATGCTTTTCTTAGAAAAAAAAACCCCTTGGAATACCTTGGGAAAATGCATGTGGGGGACAACTCTCCAGAATATTCTCTCTCAGACCCAGACCTGGAAGAACCTGCATAAACAAATGAGAGAGACGTATGAATTCATCACCCGTCACCAGCATGCATGATCACAAACAGTGGTGGCTGCAGGGAGGCGTGAAGGCCTGGTCCTGGCTTCGGCCAGATTCCAACTGGTTCAGCCCCCAATGGGTCAGCACTGACAATGGTCACCAGGCCTCTCCTGGAAGCCAGAAATGACCTAAGGGCTCTGCTGCTTCTCTCACTCAACACCCCTTTGGGAGCTCCTTAGCTCCCACAATAAATCATTAGCAGCAAACTGACTTATGAAGAGAGGGAAGAAAACAACTTGAATGAAACTGCAGAAAACTAAAGTCAATTAATCAGCATGCTGGCTATTTTAGCTTACTCAGTAATCTAAGGAATTCAGTCATCTGCCCAGTCTGGCTCCTTGGTGCATTTTAAAACACTTCCATTGTTTAAAAAAAAAAAAAAAGTAGCCAAAAGGGGGAAAAATTAAGTTCTGTTTGTTTTATAGAAAATATTTTCTGATGTATGAAGTCTGTCAGTTTTCTTAATTAAAAAAAAAAAAACACAACACCCATTCATTCCATCTTAATCAAAGAACCAAAGACATGGCAACAGATTTCAGTTGGAGAAAGCTGCAGCTGATTAATATTCTGAACTCTGAAGTAGAATTTCTTGTTGTATAGTAATGGTGTGAAAACTTCTGACAGACAGGCTTGGTGAAACTTGATTCCATTACTGACAATTACTATCTAGGTCTAAGAAAGGAATTCAGACTTTCAGATGGAGCTGGCTGATTTATAAAGAGAAAATTGTAGGTGTGTGTGGGAGGGTTAGAAGTGGGGTTTGGATAGAAAATAACAAGAGGAAGGAAGAAACTTGAAACCACTACCGTTTAACAACGCCCTTGTTTTCTGCAAGTAGCTACCAAATCATTCACTATTTTTTTCATAGACAGTTTTGCATCTTAATAGTAGCTGATAAACAACCTCCTTTCACATTTATGCACGGGCATCTAAAAAAAAACAGCTATTTTTTTTCATACTAAAAGGAAAAGTACCACATTTCTCTCAAGGAAAGAAATGAAGTCAAAATCATTGCCAAAGTGAACACTGGCATTTAGGAAGCACAAGCTACTGACAGATGGTTAATGGTATGAGGATCAGCAAAATCAAAGCGAGGAAATTGCTAAAAGAAGTCTAATCGTTCAAATGATAATTGCGGGTAGCAGAGCTCCTACGTGTACTTGCTACTGGTGTTGACATCACTTGAGATAGTCGGTACATCTTGGAAAGGCTGCTTGTTCAAACTTCACAGATTTTCTGCAAAAGATGTTAAAAAAAAAGGTGGATTATATATTAAAAATAGAAAAATGATGCCAAAACAGATGGCATCTACTAATTGCACTAGTCAGATTTGTTGACTTAAATTATACAGATATAGGATTGAAGGCTGGAGAGCAGATTGAAGGACCACTGAGATTATGTCTACTGACGATTTTCTACTCATTTTCTTTCCATTGTCTCAGTGCATCTAAATCATCTTTTTTTTTTTTGGTAAGGAAGAACATTTTATTTAGAAAAGCTAGACTTATAAAAGTTGACTTGTAGTCAAAACAATATAATGAAAAGGAGTTCTTTGATTAAGAAATCAGAAAAGATTTGGCTCCAGAGACCACTGAATAAATATATTTGTATTTTCCTCATCCAGTGTATATCCGCTTCATTATCAAGTTTCAAACAATGCTTGGGAATTGGTGTCTTTTGCTCAACAGCTCGAAGCATTGACAGCCACAGAGAGGAAGGGCGGTCCCTTCTAGTTGCTATCGGCCTGGACATTCCTAAGCAGCATAAGCAATACTGCACTAAAAATAGCATATGATTCTCATGAACATATCATTTGCTTTTTCAATTACAAATTAAAGACATTTCCACAGGTGTAAATTATTAAACTTTTATTATTTACCACTCATCATAATGTATATCTTCAGTTGAAAAACCTGCTTAAGCCAATGAAACCTTGTATATATCACTGTTCTAGCAGTTTTATAAGGAAGAACTAAGTTCCTTTCTGATTTACCCCTTGTATCTACATTTTTTAAATATGATAACTACTAGTGGATTATCTTTGTAGTTCTCATCCAATAAATGAAACCAGGTTAGTTTTTTAGCTCCAAATTGATTCTTTCAATAAATCATACAAAACCTGTTAGAAAATATAGATCCTGGCTATGATAGGGGACCTTTAGAGACGTTAGGCGAACCTTCTGACATCTCTTGAAAGACCTCTAAATCAAAGTACATGTGCATAGATTTCACTTGTTTGGAAAATAACATCATCTGCCCTGTAATAGAATAGTAAGTCACTTGTCCCTTTGATATTTGATCAATACAATATGAACACATTCAGTCCAAACTATGTTCCCCACACACTAACTTTAATTTTAAGCCAACATACCCTGCAGCAGAGAGCAAGGTCTTAGTACTGCATCTTAACAAATACTAGCAGCAGTCTAGTAACAGTGCATGCAGCATTAGTAACACAGGAGAGACTTTAGCTTCAGCTCTAAAAACTTTTCAAGAAACAGAAGAGACAGTCTCTCTACCAATTTCATCAAAGCAACACATCTGTTCTGACAAATAATTTGCCCAAACATATTCCTTCCAAAGGAAGCGCCCCATCTTTTCTTCCCATTGATAAATGACAAAATAATTACTGGTATCTGAAGCTTCCTGCAGGTGACAGTCAGAGGAGCGATCCAGGACTTAGCAGCTCTTCAGCTGAAAATAATGTCAGAACGTCAACAGGTGCTGAAGTCACTTAAGAAGGGAAAGCCCATCTCCCCCTGCTTCTGAGCGACGCTGTCCTGGGTCAGGCATTTGCAGAGTTCTGTCTTCTGCAGTCTTTTGTGCTTTTGGATGTTTCCTAGAATAGCAGAGCATGAAGTTCTTGGGAAAGTCAGCGCTACCAACACCCTTGTTTTCTTTCAAAAACAGCCTGCGGAACCAAAGGCTGACAGGCACTCTTTGAGGTCACACTTCCTGTTGGGCTCACGTCAATATCAGCACTTCACACTGAGGAGCCTGGGGAAGACTCAACAAAGTCTCCTGGAGCAGCCGAGGGATGTGCAGCCCCCGCAGCCGGCCAGCTGGGTGCACCGTGGTCACTGAGGGATGATGCTCTGAGCTAACTCCTCACCCTTAGAAATGAGAAAAGCTTCAGAGAGACCAGCTTCTTGTTTCTCATCTGGCCATGTTCAGCTGAGGGTTGCATAGCACAAGTGTTCTTTGTCCCAGTCAATTCCACTTCTTGATAATGCACAGACACCATGTAAATTCACTAATGTAAATTCAGGACACTATGAAAGACCAGGAGCTTGAGCTGGTGAAAAGGTGTGTGGTGGTGATATACTGAACCCCCAAAGACTTTGGAGCCCCCCAAGGCTTTGCAAGAAACTACGGGTGCCATTTTACATTTATATTTTTGCAGAGCAGAAAGAACTTGATGCAGTTGTAGGTCCCTACAAATCTCTGTTACTGCAAGCAATAAAAGAAACAGCTTCCAGGGACTCAGGAGGTGCCCTGGGGGCTTGCAAAGAGCATGGCCCAGACTGAGACCAGACTCTGTCTGCATGACCAGGGAGTTGCATGCAGACCTGCACTTAACTTCCGTGAGCTGTGATTTTTTCCATTATAAATGCAGCAATATATAGACATCACGGGATGGCTTGGAGAATGAAATGAGATCCTATCAACAAGAAATAGGTGTCCTCAGTTCAGATGTGAAAGATGTATTCCTTATCCATTTTATGTCAATCAACTACTCTTTTTTTTTAACAGTTTTATTTTATTTTATATATTTTTACATCATTTTTCATTTTGCACAAGGTATGCATTTTCATCTTGGTTATAGTCCCCATATTCTTTTAAGGCCCCTGTTGCCCAGGGTGGCAGAAATGCTAATACCAGTCTTTCTTTGGGGGCTCTCTTTCCTCCTGAGGTTATGCCACAAAACAGCATCTTCTGTAGAAGATGCCCCAGGCAGTAGCAGCTATTAGATGAGCCCCTCTCCTGCTGGCAGCTTTCAAAGATGGCCCTCAAGGATTCTGCATAATTCCTCCCTTTTTTTAAAAAAGATTTATTTATTTATTTATACAAGCACTGGATACAGTCAGAGCGCAGGAGGGTGAGAGAATTCACCAGAGCCAGAGCGGGGAACAGAACAGGCAGACTGACGAAATACACTGCTGAGGGGAGCAGCGGGTGTGGCAGGAGAGGTCTGCGTGCCATGTGGGACCCTCGCTGGTGGCCAGGGATGGAACCGGCGCTGCAGAGGCTGCGGGCAGCGTCTCAGCCCAACTCTCAACCGCTGCGCCATGGAGGAGGCCCATAATTCCTCCCTTTTAAGTGTGGGCTGAAGTTAATAACTTGGTGGTGGAAAATAAAATAAACAAACAAAAATATTATATTGGGGAGTGTACGTGATAACATCATACTAACATTTGCTGGACGTTCTTCCAATTTTATTTACTTATTTATTTATTTATTTTTTTAAATTGTACTTTATGTGGCTTTTTGAAGTCTTTCCTTAACACTAGTAAAATGTAGTTTGAAACTTGTATTGTTAAAATGCAAGGTTTTCAGTATATGGGTGGATGGATAAAATCAAGTTACATAAACCATGTAAATCCCAACATGAACTCTGATGTTGTGAGTATGACCTGGATCTACCCATTGAAAGGACTGCAATTCATGACAATCCAGTTGCAACAAACACCTCTAGTTCTTAGGTTTCCACTTCTAAATACTAGTTCCCTTCTGAAAGGAATCAAAGCTCTTTAGGGAAATGCTTGATTTCAAATCTTGGCAGGAAATATCCAAGATGAAACTCAATATCTTATTATTGAGAGAGAGCAATCAAAGACTAATAAAATCATAACAAAGGACACCTGATTAATCTTGAAGGGGCTGAAAGATAATTTGTTGCTCCTGAATAAAATGAGACAAATGTGATGGGTTATCACTGCCACCGTGAGAGTACAGTGGTCTATTTCTGGATGGCTGGACTTGCTAGTCCTTCCTGGCTACATACTTTGATGAAGCAAGTGGCCATGTTGGAAATGGCCACATGGCAAGGACCTGAGGATTGCCTGAAAACCCTGTGAGGAACTGAAGCCCTCAGTCCAATAATGGGGAATTCAGTCAACCAGCATGTGAGTGAGCCCAGAAGTGGATCCGTGTCCAGTTAAACCTTGAGATGATTACAGTCCTGACTCACACTTTGTGCTCATGGAAGACACAGAAGAGAGAAGGCAGATTCCTGACCCATAGAAACTGTGATAACAGTGTTTAAGCACCAAGTCCATTTTTCACTGGCAGGTAACACAGTCTTATTTTCTGAGTGGTATGTTACTCTGGTCCACTTGGTCAGCGGCCCTGCTGCCTTGGTGCTAGCCTCAGAATATAAGTGCATCAGAATATTCTCAGAATTCAAAGCTGCCCTGGTCACATTTGCCTAGATTTTCCAGACAGTCGTTCTGCTCCACATTCTATTCCGAGAGTCTGGTACCCTCCTTCCAATAATTCATAATTCTCCTCCTCTTCCTGCTCCTTCTGTTCTTATTTCCATGGACTAAAAGAACAAAAATAGCACTCTGCCCCATTACACATGTCTCCTCTCCCCTAGCAGGGCCACCACAGAGGCTGAAGTCAGCCACATGGTGCCTTTGTTTGCTGTGAGAACCCTGAGGTGAGAAGCAAAGAAAACATCTGGAAAGTTCACAGTCTGTGTCCACTCCTGCCACGGTCATGAGTGTCTGGAAGAGGGAGCGGGAGATAATGGCCTGCTGCAGCCTCGCTCTACAGGGGCGCTTTTAGGATAAGAGACTGAAACAAACTTTGGTCCTTCCATCTCCCCAATACAGATAGCTCTGACTGAGCTGGCTTTGTAAGATTAAGGGGTGGCTTTGAAATGATCCACAGTCTTCCCTTTTATCAATTAACCAAGAGGAAATGCTACACATCAACCTCCTTTCGTGAACTGAAAATGCTGGAAGTGAACTAGATGTAATTTTTTTTCTTTGCTAAAGAACAATTATGTATTCTTTCTTTTTTGTATTTCCTTAGAGTGTTGTTCATTTTTCGACAGTATGTGTCCTCATAGTCCTCCCATCACTGTAGCTCCCTTGAGCCATCACCACAGTCCCTTGTGCTCCTATCTCCCCTGTTTTGACCTCTCTTCTCCCCCTTCCCGGCTATATGCCTCAGATCTACTGGCAGCTTCCAAGTTTTGTCTTTCTGCTGACCTTTTGTTTGGCTTGTGTATTCTTTCTGTGCATGTAACCTACCTACACAGATTGAGGCTAACCCCCTGAAGGGAAGGAGGGAGAGGCAGACATGCAGAGAAAGCTGCTGAGGGCCTCCCAGCCTAGGGCCTTCCATTTGGCTCTAGCTGACCTTTGTAATAAATTTCTCTGTTATTCAACTTTGAATTCACTGTATCGTGGTGATCATTTCAGTTGGCATTTCTCACCCTCTTCTTTCCAGCTAATATCTTTTAGCGGAGGATGGGAAAATCCTTCTCATTGTTTCAAGAGCCTTTGCTCCATCAATGCCCACAAATCCTCTTTCCCAAAGAGCTGATGCCAGACAGACACACTGGTACGTTTCTTCCCAGCCTGGTGTATATTAGGGTCTCAGGAATGATTGTAATAATTGACAGCTTGATGGAGCCCTCCATGTGCCAGGCAGTGTTCTAAGTTTTGCTGCTTGTTTTTCACATATATTAACATAAAATTTAACCAGAAGAGCACTGTGTTATTTACAGGTGAGAAAATTGAGGCACAGGGAGTTCAACATCTTGCCCCGAAGTCACGTAGCCAGTCAGTGGTGAGCTGGCCTGGCAGGGCGGCTTCTGAGTTTGTATTCTTCACCCATAAAGGGTAACAAGGCTGTTAAACACATGTGAGCATTTCCTTGGAACCAGGCATGGCACAAAATACTGCACGGGGAGAGGGAGAGGGATCAAAACAGGGGAGGAAAGAACGCAGGACTATGGTGATGGTGCACAGGGGAATTGGTGGTGGGAATTTTATGGGGACTACACCTCAGAGGAGAAAGCATGCTTTGTACAAAAAGGAAGAATGATGTATATAATAAAACTTAAAAAATACAATTAATACAAAAGAAATACTTCATAATAGTCTCTCGGGGGCTGAGGGGGATTGGTCCAGAAACCCTCTCCCCTTACCAAAGTCTACAGCTCTGCAAGTCCCTTATAGGAAACGGTGCAGTGTTTGCATATAACCTACGAACGTCCTCCCGTCTACTTTAAATCATCTCCATCATACTTACAATACCTAACACAACGGAACTGCTCTCTCGGGGGTATTATACTGCTATACTCGAGGGAATGATGACAAGAAAAAAGCCTGCACGTGCTCAGCACAGATGCAACCCCCATGGACCTAATCAGCAGCACATATTTTCCATCCATGGTTAGTTGACACCTCAGATGAGGAACCCCCATTAAGGAGGGGCAACTGCATATACGCCATCTTGTTTAAATCTCTCATAGCCCCAGAAAAGAAAGATCGTTATCCACATGTAGGGCAGAGGTTTACAGAGCTGACATAGTGTCTCGATATTGCCAGACTCAGAACTTAAGCCTGTGGCGCCCACTGGACTCGGCTCTGTTCAGGCCTGTTCTTCCCCGTGCTGTTCCTCGCACCCAGACTTGTGTCTGCTCCGGAACCTGCACACTCACTCTTCTCTCTGCCCAGAATATCCCCCCCAGTAGCCACAAGCTTCCTTGTCTCCCTCAAGACTGAAATGTTTGGTCCTTAACTAAATCAGCCTCGACAGCCACTCTATCCTTTCCCTGATTTATTCTTCCCTTTGCTTTTTTCACAGGGTCACATGCCATGCCCATTTATTTTTTGTGATGATAAATACTTTGTTCAGCTAAAATGTAAGCTCTGTGGAGCCAGAGAGTTTTCTCACTGGTCTTCATTTCTGTAAGCTGACTAGTATTATCACCAGTGCCTGCTAAATGAGAGGCTATCAATGAATCTTTGCAGGGTCAATAAATAACCAAATTAAAATGTAGGCAGAACTCACTTTGGACCCTTGATTCTACATACCATAAATCAGAGTTTCTAAAAGCATGTTCCACAGAATCCACAGCCCTTCAAATATTAATGGAGTATAGGTATGGGTGGCAAAAAGGCTGTGTAGCAAATTTCAGCTCACTTTCACCACTTTTAACATAGTACTGGTAATGCCATCTAGAGTAATTAGGCATGAAGAAGAAATAATAGTCCTCCAAATCAGAAGAAAGGAGCAAAATTATTTCTCTTTGCATAGGACATGCTCTTACATGTAGAGAACCACAAAGATACACAAATTCTGTAGTTGCAGGATAAAAAAAAATCAATATGGAAAAATCAGCTACATTTTTACATATGAGTAACAGACTGTCCAAAAAAGATAGTATGAAAACATTCCCAGGCCTCTCTGGGTGCAAGGAGTTAAGTCTCAGCACTATGAAGATATCACCAGCCACTGCAGCAAGAATTCAATCCCTGGCCAGGGAGCTGATTCACATGGCACAGCAGACATCTCTTGTTTTACTTGCTGCAGCCCTCAGCAGTGTATTTCAGTCAGT